GCCCGGGCGGACCCCACCTGCCAGCACTTCCCTTGCGCTTTCCACCTGCTTCCCACCAGCAGCATCCTCGGGGAGTTGGGATCTATTTGAGACGGCGGCGTATGCACGTACCCAGGGAGCTAAAGCGTTGGATAAATAAACACGTCTGCTGCTCATCCTGCCTCTGATTCCTCCTGAGAGCAGCCATCTCCTCAGCTCTGGCAATGGAGAGGGGTTTTTAGGCTGTAACTGGAATGCTGCGTTACTGGCGCTTCCTATTGCACAAATATTTCAGGATTAGGCAATAAGCCACCATGTAAACAGGGGCTTGGAATGCTCACAGCCCCCAGGCAAAGTATTCCAGGCGATTGCTGATCACAGTCCCAGCTAGGCATGGATCCCTCTCCCTGTGTTCATTTTAGCTGGAGCTGCTGTAGCTGGGCACCAGGCTGGTGCCAAAGGAAGGGGCTGGGTCCAGCACCCGGGCACGGGGGGCACCTCTGCCAGGCTGGAGAGCTCAGCCTCGTCCTCTGTTAATCCACAGGAGTTTTGGGGCAGCAGCAGCAAAAATCTGTTTCTTTCTGTTCCCCACTGCAGGCATCCCGTTGCTTTCAAGTCTTCCCCAGCCAGGCAGGAGCAGACTCATTTGACAGAAGATGCAATTAGCTCTTTGGTTTATCCAGGCAAAGGCCTTTTGGGTGCTGATAGTATTTAATGAATGACTTGCTCATGAGCTCTCCCGCCTGCCTGGCGTGAGAGTTTCTCCGGCAGGAATGTGTTGCAGGCTCAGGGCACAGCAGGATCCATAAATCACAGACACACGGAGTCCCTGGGCGCGATGGCCCAGCCGAGGACGGCTCGGGACACTCACCATCCTTTGTCTCCTTTGGCTTTTGGTGCAGGAGCGAGTTCACGGTCTTGGGGGGGATCTATCAGCACGGCAACTGGAACGAAGAAAACAGCGCCCAGGATCACAAAACCATCTGGGAGAGCTGCTGCAGGGGGCACCTCTGCCAGGCTGGAGAGCTCAGCCGTGGGAGCTCCCCTCCTGCACCCCTGGGCATTCAGCCCTTTTGGCTCTGTGCTCCCCAGGGCTCAGGCAAGGCTTGAGAAGGGTCCAGCAGGTACGGACACCCCCA